TTTTTTTTTTTCAGTTTTTGGCTGGGGCTGGGTTTGAACCTGCCACCTCTGGTATATGGGACTGGCTCCCTACTCCTTTGAGCCACAGGCACTGCCCTAATGATTAGATTCTTGCCTCCCAGTTCTTCAAGTATTGAATTAGCCTTTATCTTCAGAAAGATTTTACTTTTGTTTTATAGAAATTAGTTGCTAGACATAAGAGGAAAATGAGATACTACTATTGGGAATAAGAGAGCTCATGGAGAGCTCATGTACATGAGGACACCATAGGATATTTTCAGGGACATCATTTAATAATATGTATTCTATTAAATACATACATATTTTTTAACCTTAATCTCATTGACCTTTAAGGTTTTAGTACCTAACAGGAAGAAGACAAAGTGATATTTTAAAATTTCTCTTATGAGGTTTTGTAAGTAGTTTTGTTTGAAATAGTTTTCCTTGACTACTATCCTAGTGGGACCTTCGAACTTTCCATCTTTTGCATACTGTTCCTGCTCTGGATCAGTGTCGTGTGGTATTCAATCATACGGGGACAGTGATGTATGGAGGTAGTGTACCTTATCCTTTTCTTCATTATTGTCTTCCCTCTTGCTTTGTCCTTCCACTTAATTTAATACTTACCTTTTGGAAATTATCTCTCACTTGTGAATTGGAAAATATTTGAAAGTTGTAACATAAAAGATAAACTGATATTACAAATGGTGACAAAAGAGAAGGTGAATGAAAGGCAACTGACTTTGAAGGTAACAGGTAAATTTTAAAACGAAATTTCACGAATAATTTTTCATATGTATTGTTATGAGCTTAAAACCCTTCATATGTGTTGTCTTGTGATACAGTCCTTTGTCTTTAACACTTCTTGGGAGGTAAATGAGAGGTTGACCATATTGTTTGCTATAAGAAGTGAAATATGCAAGGAGAATACTTTGAGAGGAACTAACTAGATGCAGGGTAGATTTATATCCAAGGAAACTAACCAAAGTCTTGATTGACCATGAGTCATTTTCTGTACTTGTGAATAGGGGATATTTCTGATTTTTAATAGTGTCCTCCTCACCCCCAATTAGCTATGTTACAGGCAGATGATGAAGATGACTTGATGGAAGAGAGGATGAAAAGCCCTTTTGGATCATCCTTCCGAACATTTAATGCAACCGACTACAAACCTATAGGTAAGCAGGAAGGGGCATACATTGATCATTTTGCCATATTTTGGTGTTCCTTATTTAAGATCCTCCATTTTCTGGGACGACTGTAATTTTTTTATTGAAAAGCAGAGAAGTTTATAGAAATATTTATGAACAATAATCTTGAATTCGTTTAGAGGAAAAACAGGTTTTAAGGCCATGACAATAGTCCAATCCTAAGTCTTGTCACATTCTGTTTCCAGCGACCATTGATGTGAAACGGAATATTTTTGATCTCTGTACAGACACCAAAGACTGTTATCTTGCTGTCATTGAGGTAAAAGGGTGCTTGCTTGCAGAGGCCCTGTTGCTTTGTTCTGATCTTGATTTTCAAGTTATACTACAGACATTTTGTCTAATATGAGATTCATTTAAAGTCGATAAATTGCTGGTGGTAGGTTATTAAGAACTGTATTTAATGGGGTTTAGAGATCTATACCTGAAGAGAAATAATAAGAAGATCCCAATATAAGATAGTTTAGAGAGTCCTTTCTCCTTTTATTCTGGACTCATGCTTGTCATCCCTTTCTCAGAGAAGTCGAATCTCTCACTAGAGCAAGACTGGTGTGTTATAAGGATGGTAGTCTCCCTGTGTCCCTTACTGCCCAAGACTTTCCATTCTGTTTTTCATTCCATCTCTATGTTTAAGGCATAATATTTTCAGAGCTAGAGAATTTTGGATATCAGAGTTTGATAATTACAGGGTCAAGGTCATGGGTATCAGTCAGTGCTGAGGTGTGGATGTGTTCTTCTGAAAACTAACTGCTCCTTGTGGATTGGGTGTTCTATTCCAGAATCAAGGAAGCATGGATGCCCTGAACATGGACACAGTATGCAGGCTATATGAAGTGGGCAGGCAGCGTCTAGCTGAGGATGAAGATGAAGAGGAAGATCAGGTTAGTGGTCTTTGAGATTTCTTTCTGCTAAGCAATGCTTCATCTTCTCCATTTTCCCAAAGAGTGTTTTAAAGATTTAATCATGTTGCTACCTGTTGCCATATTTAGAAGGCTTATGTGACCTTGATCACTGAAACTCATAAGACATTTTATTTTATTTTATTTTATTTTATTTTTTATTTTGAGACAGAGCCTCAAGCTATCCCCCTGGGTAGAGTGCTGTGGCATCATAGCTCACAGCAACCTCCAACTCCTGGGCTCAAGCGAGTCTTCTGCCTCAGCCTCCCAAGTAGCTGCGACCATAGGCACCCGCCACAATGCCCCGCTATTTTTTGGTTGCAGCCTTCATTGTTGTTTTGGTGGGCCCGGGCTGGATTTGAGCCCACCACCTTAGGTGTATGTGGCTGGCACCTTAGCTGCTTGAGCCACAGGCGCCGAGCTTATTTTATTTTTTTATTTTTATTTTTTTGAAACAGAGTCTCACTGTGTCACCCTCAGTAGAGTGCCTTGGTGTCATAGCTTACCGAAACCTCAAACTCTTGGGCTCAAGCAATTCTCTTACCTCAGTCTCCCAAGTAGCTGGGACTACAGGAGTCTGCCACAACATGCCCAGCTATTTTTTTTTTGGTGCAGTTGTGTCATTGTTATTTAGCTGTCCTACACTAGGTTCAAACCCGCTAGTCTGGGTGTATGTGGCTGGCACTGTAACCACTGTGCTATGGATGGGCGCCGAGCCAAGAAGACATTTTATTATAAAACTTTAATCAACACTTGATGATCCTGTCAATTACATTTGTAGATTAATTTAAAATTTGGCAATCTCTGATTTTGCTTTAGAGATTTCCTTGCTTTGTCCTTAGTTACCAATGCCCTGTTCCGGCCTTAGGGTAAGCCAGGGAACCCCATACTTCCAATGTCAGTACAAAACAGAATACTCACTCTCCTGAGATGGGTTGGAGAAATGGCTTAACCTTTATAAAGTTCTGGTTTTGTTTCTTCAGTTTGGTGGCATAATATATTTTCAGAGTAATAGAGTGGAACTAACAGATAAAGAGAAGATTTTGAAGCTTCTGAGAATTTAAACATACATAAAATGTGGGTAGAAAATTTCATGTCCTACAGTCTTAGCTTTTCCTTTTCATAGGAAATTCTAGTTTGTGATTGTGTTATGCTATATTCTTACCTATGTGGTATATTGGTATTGGTTCTGAAAAATTTTTCAAACTTCTGAGTTTTGGTAGATCTTTTCCTGTCTTTTGGCGTCTGTTGGGGTCTCACAACATTCTCATTACAAAGAATACACTCTGCAGGGAATAGTCTTTTGTCTAATTATAATGTTGAAAATGAATGTTGTGGCCAGTGCCTGTTTGTAGTCCCAGCTACTTGGGAGGCTGAGGCAAGAAAATCGCTTAAGCCTAACAGTTTGAGGTTGCTATGAGCTGTGATGCCACGACACTCTACTGAGGGGGACATAGTGAGACTCTGTCTCAAAACAAACAAAAAAAATAATGGTTTTGACTTGTTGCAGATATATCTTTTTTCCAGATGTTGGATTCATTTTAGTTTTTTCTCTCACTGTGGTTATTGTTTAGTCTTGGTGCTTTGTCTCTTTTTTAAGAGACAAGGGTATTCTAGGTGGGGATAAGGGTGTATTGTGGAAGTGCACTTCCCTCAGTTTGCATTGCCACAGCACTCTTGCCCTCATCCTTCCCCTACCTTTGATAAATCATGCTTAGTGGTTAGGGCTATTGAAATAGCTTTCTTAGGATTTCTCCCAGAGTTTGTACTTAAAGGAACTTAAGGTAAAAATTTTAAAAAAATGGTAGTTTTGAAGTATAGTAGAACATCCATAGTTGACCATCTTTCTACAATGACCACCTTCTTAAGTTGACCTAATTTTCATAGACCAGATAAGCACTACATATATGTATCACTATAGCAGGCCTAGTTCCTTATTTTAACCACCTTTGTATGTTGACCAGTTTGTTACAGTTCCTTGGGTGGTCAAAGTATTCTACTGTATTTTTTGGATGTGAGTTTAATACTATGGGCAAAGGGCCAACGTTTTTCTCTAATAGGACTTAGTATGACTAAGCAATGTTTTGTTATTCCAGTTTGAAATTGAAATGTATGTTTCACTGTTGGGCTTTACAGGTTATGAAAGGATATATAGTTTGTTCTTTAAATGAAATCCTGTTTTAAATACTGTATCATCTGTATATCAGAGATGATAATGGTACATCTAATTGAAAAAGCTAAAACAGAGACTCAACTATAAGTCTCGTGTATGTGCTTTCTTGGTCTCCACTGTTTCTTGTAGTGTCTTCCAAATGGCTAAGCTTGCATTCGAGTTCAGAGATGATTCATAATCCACAGATAAGAATTTCTGGGCAGATTGCAGAAGGGAGACTCTAGTGTGTGTGAGCACCTGGTGATCACTGTGGGATCAGAGCAGAGGCTTGCTTAGGATCTGGCTGCTGCTTGACCCAGGGGCCCTTTCCTTGTGGGATGTCCTCTTACGAAGGGCACTTTCCCAGCTCTAGCTTCCCTCTTTCCTCACACACAGATGAGGGTAGTCATAATCTTCATTGTATTCCATAGAAATAATTTTATAAGATACTTTACTAGAAATGATACCCTCAGTTCTATAGTTTCTTAAATACCATATTTATTATAAAGGACAAATAGGCTTCTGAGTTTGAAACCACTTCACCAAATTCTGCCAAGGATTTCCTAATGTAGAAGGGCTTTCCTTTAATGCCTTCCAGATGTAGAGGCCTTGGTTTCATGGGTGAGAGGAGTCAGCATTGTTTAAAGCTCATGCAGTACTTGAGATCTTTGATGTATCTGCAAGGTGGATTTTAGTGTTTTGTGGGGGGCTATGCTATTTAACTTGTACATGTTGCTAGTTTTTCTAGGTAGCAGAGCTTTCAAGTGGTATTAGATCCTCCAGACTTCATGTAGTTGCCTTAAATGGGTTTAATAGTGTCTCTGTTCTTAATAAAAGAATAAAGTGAGAAACTCACTTTAGTCTGTTACTTTAGAAATCTCACTCCCTTAATGCATACTTTTTCACTTTAGGTGATACGAAACAAGATGTGGTTTATTCTTGAGTGGATATAGAAAGTGTGGTTGTGAAACCATTTGTTCATACATTATAATGGTATAGGAGACTATAGATAGTCTTGTCTTTCGTGGATTTATTTATCATTATCAGGTATCAGTTCTGTTTTAAGCGCCTTTGATGTTACCTATTGAGCTGCAAATCCAAACCAACACCCAAGTTATTTTAAGTTACTTATCAACACCATTATCCCTGCCCTTGTATGTCCTTGCAGTTTATAAGACCCGTCTGGGGACCGTTATCTGTGTCCATGTGATGCCTGGTGTCTGTCTTTGGGGGTGTGGTTCAAGCTTAAGGGGACGAGAGAATTTACCTGGACATCTTGAGCTGGGAGAGTGTCTGCTGGATTGGCTTCATTCTTTTTGCAGACATGAGTTGGTGAGAGGCAAAGTCACTGGGTATAGGTTAATGGCTTTGTAAGCCAAAGGGCACTATAAGGGAACAATTTTAAGTGTTCCCCTCCTCTTACCCTACCCTCTCAAGGAGGGAGACTTGGATCAGGGAAAAGACTGACTAATTCTCCTTCTGTGGTTCTTAACTTTCCTTTTGAAGGTTAATGGAGAAAGATACTAGAAAAGGGTTAGTGGTTATGACTTCTGACTCTGGTACAGGAAGGAAAAACTAGAAGCTGCTTTGATGTGGACCACCAAAATTGAGAGGGGCAGATGCAAGAAGGCCCTAGAAGTGGCTCTGGAGCCCAGTCCATAGAAGAGCCTGAAAGCTTTCTAGCTCTCAGAGGACTAGGTGTCTGGGTAGATTGCTTCCAGGTTACTCAGAGTCTAGAGTACACATTTCACTATAATCATCTGGTGAGTACAAATTCACCATAATCATCTGATGAATTTCATTTTTGAAGGACATCTTTTAGAGAGCTGCTTATTCTTTCTACTACCAAGCTTAAGACCAGTAACATGTACAAGTTGAATAGTGTAGCAGTCCAGAAAACAAAGGCTTTTGGCATTTTGATTTTTCATTTAGAGATGTTACGTGGGATAATACCATATCTATTTAAGTAAGTCTTCTTTGTAATCTTAATTCTTTTGATCCACATTCTTATCTTACACTGGTGTTTTGCTGCATTTACTATCTCCATAAGATTTTTCCACACTGCCTCTTCCTGTGCCAGCTGAATTTTTTTTTAAACTCACTTTCCTTAGCATGTTTCACCTGATTTTTAAACTTTTCATTTTCATATGAGTCATTTGCTATTCAAAGTTTTGTCCAGTCTAGATATCTGTTCTCAGGTCTTCTCAGATGTTCTAGGTATGACTTAAATGGCTCAGAGATGGAGGCACTTGTAACTAATACCTTTGAATTTGCCTTTTCACCTTAGCAAAATAAACTTAGAAGCTTGAACAGTCAGCTGCCATCTGATAATATGGTCTGGCATAATATAATTGCTTATATAAAATGGCTATTTATTTAAAGAATGTTATTGAGATATAATTTTCATACCATAAAAATAGTTGTCTTTTGCCCTTATATTTAAATAAACTTGGAAATTAACAAGAAGGGATGAACTGTACCACTATATTGATAAATGAAAACATATCTAGTGTATTAGATAGCCATATATAATTGGTTCCTGAAGCTGATAGTCTGCCTGCCTTCAGGCATTTGATGAAAACAGAGATAAGCCAGTTGCCTATCAAAGCTCCTGTTATCCATTGAAAGTTTGGTATCTGTGTTTTTAAAAATCAATTCATATTTAATCCTGGCTTTTAGGAAAGTTGTAAAACCAAAGGTGGTAATCAGTCATTATTCCCAGATTTCGAAAAGCCAGTACATTTCAGCTAATTATCATTAACCTTAAATTTATGAAGAAAACTCAAGAGAATAATGCTCTCTTTTTTTCCCACTCCATTTTGGAATCTGG